ACATTTCCCATACCAGCATATTTAAAAGCTTGACTGATCCTTTGAAAATCATCTCGTATGGCTTCCATCTCTCTACTCAATTTATCATTTTCACCCCTTAAATGGTGAATCATAGTTTCATATTTTGAGAAACAATTTTCTTCTTGGATGTCCTCACTGATACCCTTATCTTTGGTCACTTTTGGTTCAAACTCAATAGGATAATCCGTTTTCAAACTGGGTTGTCCTTTCAATTTTAATCTCCAATACTCCATGATCTAGTAGAAGTTGGACTCGACGTTTGAAGGTAGAACAATTCTCAATAGAATGTCCTTGAATTACAGCATGATATTCACAACGAACGTTGATGTCATACCAACTTGGATATGGAGGTTGCAAAGGTTTCATAGAATGCGGGGCCACTTCTTGGGCTTCTAACAATTCATCATACAATTCCTTATATGATATTGGGATGAAATCACAACGAGAGCACCTCTCAACTTGGGTTCAACTGGAGTTTCCAGTTTTATTTTCCCTGATGTTGGGAGTAGTATATCAAGCACCAACGAGTTTTGACTGCATGTCTTCTTTTCATCCTTCTGAACTTCTATAGTTGCCACTATTTCCTTGGCATTTCCAAACAACTTGTTGATACGAACAATGATTGTGCGTGATTTCTCATACTGGCTAGAATCAACAGGTTCTAAAGTAGTCCCTTGCGTATCTGGCACCTTGAGATTGTTTTCATTGAGTTCTTTCTTTTCTTTTGTAGAAGTCTCTCTTCTTTTGGACAAAACATCTATTCTATCCATCATCTTGGACATTTGCTCTTTTATCTCTCTTATCTCATTGTGCTTTTCGTCAGACATATGATCTTTATGTGCGCAACTCTCCACTATTTTTGAAGCTTTCTCAGGATGCCATTTCTTGACTATGTTATAGTTTGTTTGATCACGAAACCCCTTGTCCGTCATGAAAACCTTTTACTATGATGACCACTCACAAATCAATACCTTTTGAATATGTCATGATCATACAATGTGGACAAAGAGAAAAACAACATAAAAAACAGGCGAGTACAAATAAGATAGCAAAATGACAAAAAGCAACAATAGCAAAATAAATAAATTGAAGCTAATACGAATGCAAATATGAATGCAAATGCAAATGCACAAGGTGTTAATTCCAAAAGTGACCACCATAGAACAAACTTCATTTAGACAACAAGAATTCAGTACACTGTGTAGTCAAAATATAAATGTGATTCTTCATTCCTTCATTTTCTTGAGCCGTACTCTTCATGGAATCTAATATTGCACCCAAAGTTTTCGGTGTACTTTATCACTTTTGATGATGCCAGATGTCTTTAAATTGAATCTTGAGGTCTCCATTTTTACTTTCAATATGAAGTGATCTTCATATCTTTGTGAAGGGTCTTCTTGTCCTTGGTATAACTATATCTATCTTCTGAGGGAATATCTTGGCCTTCACTCCTTTAAAGGAAGTCTTCAATCAGCTTCAGATTTCTTCATTCATCAGATGTCCTTCTTCGTGGATCATTTGAACATCTTTGGATCTCCCGGTTTTGACTATATGGTTGAGAATTTCTTGTCTCAATATGTCCAGCCTTCTTATTAGTCAATCACTTGCGAATTAACACCTTGTGATGACATGAAGATGCAAATGCAATAAAATCAAAATAAAATAGACATAGAACAAAAATGGGTTAGTACACATAATATCAACAACAAAATAATAAGTATCATAATCATTAAATAAAACCTACCCTCACATGTTGGCTACCCAATCATGTTTTAGTAGATTCTACCCAACATGATATCTACCCCCATGTTTTGTTATTAAAAAAAGAAATCTTAACCGCATGATATCTAATTCGCATGCTTGTTCGAAAAATAAACCTAACCACATGATATCTAGTTCGCATGAATTTATTCGAAAAACAAAAATAAATGACTCAAAAAGCTTTTCCTTGTGTACCCTCCTCACGGGACTCTTAAGGTTCGGGTTAGGCTCGACCTAAGTTCGGGCTCTATGTTTACTATATGCTGGGTTCGGTTCTAAAGTAATAGGTTCTCGAATTTTCCTTGTCGGTGCCCCCTTGGGCTGTCGAACCCTCAATTCTGGCCCATCACAGGCTTTAGGGGATCGAATTCAATTTCGAGGGAACATACCTCCTTATGTCCATGCGGAGGTGATTACCATCACGAGGACCATAAGGCGTGAGCTCCAGGAGCGATCCACTATCCCATGCGGAGGTGAAAACCACACGAGGGCATAGTCTCTCACTCCTACTTAATTAGGATGGAGCGGGGTTTTAGCTCATGTCATGAAAATGCAGCTGTGCAGTGTGTGAGGAAAAGCAAAAAAACACACAATAAAAACACTCAAAATTTCCTAAATTCACACAATTAATCTGAAACCATCAGCAAACAAATCAGTACAACTATTTATCAGCTAATCGAATTAAATTAAAAAAAACAAAATACAAAAAAAAAACCAAACAAGGGATCAAAAACCAAATTAAAACGAATTTATAATTTTCAATTGCAAAGACAATTAATTAATCGACTATCGACCTGACTCTCTAAAAAAAGTCCCCAGCAGAGTCGCAAAGCTGTCGAAACAATTTTTTCTTAAAGGTGAAAAAAAATGATTTTGAAAACCACATCAATTTTTGAATTATCTCTTTCAATTTATTTTTAATTTAAAAACAAATGTGATTTAAAAACCTCTCGTTTTAAAAAAAAAAATTGGATTTCCTTTACGATCGAAAATATACGGTTCAAAGAGTCTTATTTAGGGTGTAATTGGGCACCCAAAATGTTTTTTATTTTAAATAAAAATTAATTTTAATTAAAACAACAAATTAAGGTCTGCGTTACCCAAATCCGAGTTCGGGAGTCGGTTACGTGCGGGGAAGGATTAGAACCCCCACAGTGCCCTAAATCGGTACCTAGTCGATTAATTAACGTCTTTGCAATGAACTTTACAAATTCAAACTTAATTTGACTTTTAATCCCATAAAACAACAAATATGAATTTTACAATATTCAAAAGCACTCAAATAAATTAAATTAAAATTACCAAGTCGTTTTAGAAAGATAAAGAATGTTCGATTATTTACAAATATCGAGACCAAATCTTAAAAGCTATAACAACCTTTTCTCGATAAATTTAAATAAACGAACATTTCATTTTCTTTCGTTCCCAAATTTTAAAGTGATGAATCAATTTTTAGGTGTCACTAATGGGATACACTTTTAATTTAAAATCGTCAAAGCGGATCTCTAATCAGTTAAGACAACCCACTTAAAACAATTTTAAATTAAAAGGGTATTACCCTTAATCCAATTATGTAATAGTGTCGAGTTATGTGTGAGGATATCATACAATTCATGTAAAAAAAGATGTCATGTCAAAATTGATTAAACAAAATTAAAAACATCATACACCGTGACATACAAAAAATTATATATGTATATTTCAATTAAAAATCATAAATTATGCATATTAACATATTATGTACAAATGTGACTTAAATATAAAAATAAAAACATGACATGCTAAACTACAAATTAAAAAAAAACATGTATATACATATTTAAAAATATGACTAAATTTAAATAAATGTAAAATTCAGCATACAAATAAAAAATAAACCAGAGACTTAAATAAAAACACATCCACAACAAAGGGTCTACACGTGAATAACTCAACAAAATTATAACTAAAACTAAAACTGGAAAAATAACGAAATTAGGGCAAACACAAAATGTTAAAATTCGAATATAGACTTACAAGTGACTGAAATACAAACATGCCAAAATAAGAAGACTAAAACCTAATTTTATCCTAAACATTTAATATGGAAACCAAATACTAACCCTACTGTAACCTTACGCAAAAACCCAACATATTTAATATAAATCCTAAACAAATAAAACTTAAAACTAAACCTCATTCACGTGGAACAGGCGCATAGTGTTTAACTCCATCCCCTTATCTCCACTCTTCATCTCTCCCTCGGCCACGCACAACGCCGCTCAACCCTTGAACCCTCTCCATCTCTCTACCATGTTTTCTACACACCAAACGACCACTGTTCAACCACCGGGTAAAGCCCCAAATTAATCTAACTCCTTGTTTTTCTCTCTAGACCACAAACCTGAAACTAAGACTCACCAAATCGACCCATAATTTCTACTCCGATGATCTCGACTCCAACGAAAACCCGACGAAGGTAACCCGAAATCCCCTCATACCTCTAATTTATTTTCTTGTAGGTTGTTTAATTTAGGATTTATTTGGCTTAATAATGCTAACCACGGATCCTTAATCCTAACAATTAAATCCCGAATGCCTAAGATGGAATCGCTGAGGCTCTACTGTCATTCATAACCAAGGTACTTTTCTAATTCCTTTCTCTGTTATTTTATTGGTTTCGAAAGAAAAATAAAGAACCACACATAGCATGAATGGATATTTCGAAAAAGAAAAAGAAAAATAACTTGCTTACAAATTGCTTATATTGCTTTCGAAAAAAGATAGGGAAGGCCCCGATTACACTGCTTGATCTCTGAATCCCTGAACGTTGTTTACACAGTTTCCATTTTCTATTTGTTCTGGTGTGTAAATAAAATAAAATAAATCTGATCTTTGTTCTCTTTCTCTGTTACAATGGTCTTTGCTTTCTCTCGTTCTAAATCCTCCCTTTTCTGTATGTCTATTCTCCCTCGTTTTTACTCTGTGCTCTCCTTTTTCTATGTCTGGTTCCCTCTTTTTTACTCTGTGCTCTCTTTTTTTCTATGTCTGGTCCCCTCTTTTTTACTCTGTGCTCATTTTTTTTCTATGTCTGGTCCCCCTCCTTTTCGTAATAGCCATCCCCTTTTTTTTCATCACCCTAAAAAACTCCCTTTTCTTTATTGGTTAATTGAAAATTAAAACCACCATTTATAGTTTCTAGTGGTTAATTCATGATAACTATTTTTTTGGTTTTCCAGGGTTTCACGTTGGCTGCTTTTCCGGGTCATTGGTTTGGGCCTCCAACTACTCTGCTTCGGGTCTACTGCGACCTAGCCCCGGACAAAAACGAGCATCTACATGATGGTGATGGAAATAATTTAAGAGATTTGGATTACGAGTTGTATGATGATACAAACCCAAAGTTCAACCTTGGGTTGCCTTTGAAAGTACCTAAACTAGGAAAAAGACAGGGGGAGTCAATATACAAAGGTCATAGGAACTATGAACTCATGCTCAATCTGCAACTGGGGATCAGGCATTCTGTAGGAAGACCTGCACCAGCCATTGGTTTTGATCTCAAGGCTTCAGCTTTTGACCCCAAGGAGAAAATCTGGACCAGGTTTCCTCCTGAAGGCAGTAAATACACTCCACCACATCAATCTTGTGAGTTCAGATGAAAGAATTATTCTCCAGTAGTATTCAGGTTAGATATTATACAATCATTATGCATAATTAGTTTAAAGAGATTATTTCATGCTAAGTAAATTCACATTATCATCTGTGTAAAAGGAGTTTGAGGAAATTGTTCAAGGTAGACCCTGCAGATTACATGATATCCATTTGTGGGAACGATGCACTTAGGGAACTATCTTCCCCTGGTAAAAGTGATAGCTTCTTTTATCTCACCAATGATGATCGATACATGATCAAAACAATGAAGAAGTCTAAAACGAAAGTGAGTTTTTGTTTCCTCGTCCCCTTTTAATAGTTTAAAAGTTGAAACCCAAAGTCTGCAACTTTATTGATTTGTTTTACAGGTGTTTTTAAGGATGCTTTCAGCCTATTTTAACCATTGCAGATCCTTTGACAATACTTTGGTAATAAAATATTACGGCTTGCACTGTGTAAAACTCAATGGCCCAGCTCAAAAAAGGTTAGTAACTATTAATATTTTTTGGCATAATGTCAAAATTAGGCCCTAACTTTTACTCAAATGGTTACTTTGGCTCTTACTATTTTTTTTTGGAATATTTTAGCCCCAATATTTCATTTTTGGTCAAAATAGCTCACATTAGATTGAAACCGTTAATTGATTAACGGACAATACATGTTGCTGATGTGATATTTTCACACGTATTTAATTGATTGCGTAATATATATCATGTCATCACTTCAGATGATGTGATATATATCACATCATAAATTTAGGTGATATAGTACATGTCAAGTTATACGTTAGGTGATGTGACACATGTCACAAAATCATTTTGGATAATCTGGCATATGACACGTCATCATTTTGAATGTCGTGACATATATCACATCAGTAATTAAACACATATGAAAATGACATATTAGCAACCTACGCTGACTATTAGTTAACTAACAGTTTCCATCTAAAATGGGTTATTTTGAAAAAAAATGAAACATTGGGGTTAAAATGCTCCAAAGAAAATAGGAACCAGAATGACCATTTGTGCAAACATTAAGGACTAATTTTGTCATTGTGCCTTATTTTTTTCTCTTCTAAAAAGTTTTAGCAGATGATAGGGTGAACGATCCAGGTACGATTCATTATTATGGGGAACCTCTTACGCTCCGACTATACAATTCACAGACGATTTGACTTGAAAGGGTCTTCTTTAGGACGCATAACAGATAAGGCCGAGTCTGAGATCGATAACATCACTATACTTAAGGATCTTGATCTCAATTTCATATTCAAACTGAAAAAATCTTGGTTTCAAGAGTTTTGTTGGTAAATACAATCCCACTTGTACTGTATTTATCTAAATTATACCGACAATATTCATATACGTACCCTCTTCACAGGCAAATCGACAGGGACTGTGAGTTTCTTGAACAAGAAAGAACAATGGACTATAGTCTTTTAGTAGGTCTTCATTTTAGAGAAACATCACCAAACGGAGAGCTAGTTCCTTTCAAGAGACGATCTTCATCCGGTTATCTTTCTTCTCTTCTTAAGATTAATGACAAAGTTTATTCTTCTAAACCCTAAGAGGTGAAATACATATTTTCATCTTTTCAGGCAAGTCACAGAATGATGCAGCTCATCATATTCCCAGAACTGATATGGACCAACTTCTTCTAGACCCTAAGAGGTAAAAGATGATTGTTGCTTTTGTATTTCTATGTATTCAAGGCATGTTTTAATCGTAAATCAGGAACATTGCAGGTGGGCTAGCATCAAGCTAGGTATTAACATGCCAGCAAGAGCCGAAAGAACGATAAGGAAACCGGAGTTTGAACTACAACTCGTCGGAGAACGGACGGGGGAGTTTTACGAAGTTGTGATTTTCTTTGGCATCATCGTCATACTTCAAGATTATGACATAACCAAAAAGCTTGAGCATGCATATAAATCCATTCAGTATGACCCTACTTCAATATCAGCTGTGGATCCGAAGCAGTACTCAAGACGATTTCGGGACTTCATTTTTAAAGTTTTTGATGAAGACACTTAGCAGTTTTCAGCTGTGAACATGAACAAAATGATGTCTTCCATGAGTCTATGGATTGAGTTAGCTATAAGCTTTAAGGTAATGCTTATTTATCACAAAACATTTGTTGTAGTTGATCTATTATGTAGTGTAATTCTAAAGTACCAATTAGATACATTTATGGGAATGTTGTGTACTTCAGTGAACATGCAGATTGCATTTTAGCTAGAAAAGTTCAAGCAAATTTCCATTTGCAAACCCTATTTTTATCACATCCTCTTCTAAACTAGGGATGGCAAACGGGCGGGTCAGGTACGGATACCCCTTCCCCCATCCCCATACCCACCTAATATTTTTCAATCCACCACCCGCCCACGCCGGTACATTTTCAAATCCATCCCCACACCCACTACCCACTAGCGACATACCCATCTAGACCCGTCTGACAGCAATCTAATGGGATGTTGGAGTTGGTTCCCAGACAGTTCGTGATGGGGTAGCAGTGCATGCTTCAATTTGTCAGAGGAGTAGCTCTACAAATGTTATGGAGACAGATTGTACGGAGCATGTAGTCGCAGAGCTGGATTGTTGTGTTGCTTTCGATGTTAATGCTCATAGTGCGCCTAATATGGGTTTTGAGGGGCTAAAGAACATGGAAACTGCTGCTTTTGATGTTAATGCTTATAGTACGGCTAATTTGTGTTTGGATAGGCAACATGGGCTAAAGAACATGGAAAGTAACGTGGTTAGTGGGATTATGGGTTTAATCAAAGAGCCGAATATTTCCCTAATTAAAGACCAGATTAAAGACTAAATATCCTTAATATTTGGATAAATTATATGTTATATATTATACAATATTAAAATTTATAAATTAGTCTCGAAAATTACACCTAAATTCATAATGGTCCAAAATTTAATAGATATTTAGCTGGGCGGGCGGATGTGGGGCGGGCGGATGCGGGCTGGATATGGGGCGGGTAATATCTCAAACCCATTACCCGCCCACCACCCACGACGGGTATCACTTTATAAATCCACACCCGCCCACTACCCACTAAAATTATACCCATCCCCGCTCCAATTGGAGCGGATGCGGTGCGGAATCCACGAAACTGTACCCGTTTGCCATCCCTATTCTAAACCATCATTTTTGTCTCCTTTTACCTGTTTCAACCTATTTCGGATACCTTTAAAAATAAATAAATATCTTATTTATTTATTTATTTATTTATTTATTCATTTGTTTATAAATCCGATTACCAATGACTCAAGCATTAGACTAAAACCCACACCCAAATGCCTATACAAGTCCAAAAGGCCCCAACTCTAAATGCATCAAGAAACCCTAGAGATCCAAGACCAAGTAAACGTCGCCTTTCAGAAGGATCCATGCTAGCTATTCACAGCTGGCGTATGTGAGAAGACGCGCTGACACTCTAGTGGTTCTCCTCCTCCAAGAGCTCCACGTCGTCGGTCATTTCAGAGAAAGTCCTCCCTTGCTAGGAATTACTTGCGCAAATTTTGTACATCTCCACAAATACAAAAAAAATCTTTGAAAAATACCCATTTTAATAAAAAAATATCTTCAAAACGCAATGTTTAAAGGGATAAGAGAGAAACCCTAAAAACAAAAGATAAAGGGGATTAGAGGGGCAGACAACGAAAATTATAAAATGAATATAAGGTAAACCCTAAAAAAATAGAGGACCATTCCTTTTAGTGTGCAACAATTTCTGGTGACCAGAAATCTCATTCGATAACCCAAACAATGGAGGGCTTCATAGTGGTGGGGGAACCACATATTTCGAGACTAGGCTGATCCAACAACGGAGAAGGGAGATCAACGAGAGGTCAATAAAACTTTCAAACGTAGATCTACACTGTTCTAGGCATCCCCTTGTGAAACTGAGGTTGGATTCATATCCGAGCAGTGAGACAAGGCACTACGTGAATTTTGGGCCCAAATGATCACAGGTGACAATGGTGAACAATGATGAGTATCGACGACGAACGACGATGATTGACCAGTATTCTATAGAGAAGCTCACGCACTTTAGCTTTTTTTTAGAGAGGGGAGCATGATGAAATAAATAAAAATAATAATAATCAATTTTTTGGGTTAAATATCATCTCGACGGGTCGGGTCAATCCAATGTCAAGGTCCGTGCATTTTTACTTCTTTGGGGGAAATCATTGCTGCAGTCACTCCAAGTTTCTTTGTAAATTTAATTTGGTTATCAATTACATTAAATTGCTTTAAAATATTATAATTGCACCTTTGAGCTTTGTTTTAATGCAATTTAATTCTAAATTTCATATCTTACGGTGAAATAAAACCTTTTGAAACCTTGTTGTCTAATGAAAGCTGTCTTATGGCGATTACTTTTAAAATTAACACATTTTGTATCTACATGTACATTTATTTTTTGTATTTTTATTGAAACACTTTTACATGCATTAAATCATAAAGACATTAAAAATTATCCGTGAAAGATTCTACGGTAAGAATCCGAAAAGCTAGACAACATGATAAACTAATAATACATATAAATAAAATAATTTTAAAATTATGGTAAGTTATTTGTTTAGTACCTCAATCATAATTTTTATTTTGTTTTGATCATCTTATTATTATTATTTTTAAATCATATCCAACGTTACGTTTTGGTTTCATTTTGGTCACCGTAATTTAAAAAGTAATAAAATTGTTGACGTGATATTTAATTTTTTAATGATGATGTGACATTACCTTATAGTGATACTGTTATAACCATTTTTTAAAAACTTTTGTTTTAAAAAATAATCATGACTTTATTTAGAAAATTAGGATGTTGAATTAATTATCACGAATTGGAGCCGCCATCGACCTTTGGGTTAGGTAGGTCGAATACCTAAAAACGTCTTTTAAAACAATTTCCAAAAAAATCATTTTAAAGACACAAATTGGTCTGCGTTACCAGAAATTTATTTTTAAAAGGATCGGGAATCTATTACACGTGGGGAATGATAAGCACTCCTACAGTGCTCAGAAATATTGGTACATAATCGCTTACACCTTCACTTTCTCCCTTTCACTGCAGGCGATCATTCACCCACTTGTCACTTGTACCTGAAATCTTTGCGAGTTTTGATTTAAATGATGGTCCTTTTATTGACCAGGAATAGATCTTGTCAACTTTAACGTTCGGCAAATTTAACAAAAAGTGGTATTCTTCCGGTGTTGGAGTCATGTCATCCCGATTGAATGTGAAGCAACTATAAGCTGGATTCCAGAATTGTATCACGCTTCGAACCAGGATCAGGTCTACATTTACATACATCAGATGGAATATGTCTCCATAAACTTGTTGAAATACCTGCTTCTCAGCAAAATTCCAACCTTCCCATATCATTTTCAACCCTTGAAGCTCATTTTGCTTTATGGAAGTCGGTGTGTAATCAGACAGTTCTGACACATAGTGCCTTGGTAGACTATATCCTCGCTCTTTTTGCTTTGCTTCGGACCAATTTTTGTACATCCACATGATTATCTTCTTTGTTTAGGAAACTTTTCTCCATCGTGAAAGTCTTTCAACTTTATCGACACTCACAGATCAATCGCCTTTTTCTAATGTTATGCACATACAGTATGAAAAATGAAAAATAATAAAACAAAACAAAACAAACAAAACAGTTAGTCGAAACAGATGTGTAAATTTAGCAAAAATATAAGACAGTAAATATATTGAACCTATCTCCATGTTATCTGCCCAATTAAAATTTATCAAAATGGGTCCTACCCAAACATGTTTTTTATCCTTGTATATTTATTTAGCAATTAGAACCTAGCCGCATATAATTTCTAAATCGCATGTTTCTATTCGAAAAGATTAAATCTATTCCACCCATTCGAAAATAAATAAATAAATAAATAAATAAATAAAAATGTTAGAGTAGGTTTCTCCTTCGTGCACACCTATTTTGGCTGTAACATCCTAAATCAGGGTCAGTGACTAAATTGCAAATTTTAAAAGTTTTGTGCTCAATTTAGAAATAAATTAAAAGTCTTGGGAGTTAAGTAAAGAATTTTAATATTGGATTAAATAGTAAAGATGGATGAACTAAAGGGGTAAAATGGTCTTTTCATGGGAAAGATTTTTTTATCTTCCCTTTTTGAGTATTATAAAGCGTGGGAAATATGAGAGAGTTCCAGACTTCTCTTCTTCATTCTCTTCTTTTCCACCGTGAAGCCATAAGCAAAGGTAAGATCTCTTGTTAGTTGATATTTAGCTGAATTTAGGATTTGGTTATGATTATTGGATGATAATTAAGCTTTAGGTAAGCTTAAATCATCTTAAAAACAAAGGATGGTGGAATTAGGAGAGATTAAAGATTAAGAGTTTTTGAATGAAATTTTGAAATAGAGTTCATTACTCAAATTGGAAGTTGAATTTGACTTGTCATCTATGAGAATAAGAAGCTAGAAGTGTTAGAATTAAGTTTGGGTAACATGGAAAAATTGGTATGATTCTTGAATGCTATGTGGAGGAGTGGATTTTTTAAGTTAAAGAGATATTGAATGAAAATTTATTAGTTTAAGTATGTATATTTGAGTTAAGAATATTAAAGGAAATGAAATAGGAAGTGTGGAACTGAAAATGAAGTGATTTTCGAGCTCAAAATGTGATTTCTGGGCTAGGGGAATCGATACCCATTCAAGGGGAACCGATACCCCCTCAAACGAACCAGAATTTACAGAATGTCATGGGGGAACCGATACCCCCATAGGAGGGAACCGATTCCCCCTAAAGGAAAGTTGTGAATATTGGTTTAATAGGTTCGTGTAAGTTGCTAGTATCCAATTACAAGGTGTTGCCTTAAAATGTACATTTATGTAGATTCTAAGCGTAAAGCAATTCCATAATATTTGGCAAGTAAGATCGATCAAGGAAAAAGATAAGAGATCGGTATTGACTAGTGAGGCCATGTGAGTGCATATTATTATAATATACGTATTGAATATGGAAATTGGACTCGCGACAAGTCTGTTTCCAATATGATTGTAGGAGTAGAAGTATGATTATGTTTGATATTGTGTGAATATGTTTTGTTCGTATTATATGTTATGTGGTATGAATTTATATG